CACACATATACATATACACACACATATATACATATATACACACACACACACACACACACACACACTGTTGCCTAACAAGATATAGAGATAGTGTACATGATGTCCGATGGGCGTGAGGGTGGACACTGGAACTGGGTCAGTGGTACTAAAAACTTTCCTTCAGCATCAAACTGTGATAAAAGCTCAGTCTCTTGCTCTTAAAACCAACATTCGGATATTTCAAGTCATCACCTAAACAGTTACATTCAGAGACATACAAGTTTTATCATTCCTAATATTGCTATTTTTTTCAGCCACGCGCTTGTTTGATTTTGACTAAATAAATTACATGGCGTCAGTATGTGATTCAGGTTTACATCGGCATCATGGATAAAAAGGTAAATATGTAATTACGGTCTGTTTTGTAAACAGACATATTTCAATTCCTGCCTAGTTATGGGCCCATCCACTCTTCATTTGGGTGTAACTTTGGTTTTGAGTGAAAGCTCTGGGTGCAGCAGTGATGGTGGCAGACTTTACTTTCTGATGTTACAGCTCTATTCTGCATTTTTATTTGGATCTTTATGCCTATGCCATACCTCACTCTCAATGATTCAAACTGCTCTACACTCATCATCCTTCTCAAACATGTTCTACTGACAAGTACTGTGTTACTGACAAGTATGGAAAGAATGGAGGTGCTCCAAAAAGAAAACAACTGTTGCTGCCTCTTGGGTTCTGTAGTCACAGTATTTTAAACGTGTCTATATAACTGGACTGGTCTGTATTACAGTTTATGTGGTACATGTCTCTGTGTGATTATACATAAAGGGGATGCTTCACACAATCTCATTAGGACACGAAAACAAAGAGCCAAAAATAGACAGACACAAATGAGCATGTGTGGGGGCCCTCAGCAGGTTCAGATGCAAATATATTAATTCGCACCATTATTCTCAATTTCTCTCTCTACTGCATTAAAATAACAAAATATGACAAATGATTCTCCCATAAGATACAGTATGTTAGCTGTTTTTAGGCACATAAGAATAGTAAGTCACAGCAAGATGACACATTAAAGCCACAATCCGGATTATTTTTGAAAATACAGATTACATACATACAGAGAGGAGAAAGAGAGTTGCTGGTAGGAAATAATCTCTAGTGCCAACATCATAACTTCCATTTCTCTCCAGTGCAATATAATGGAGACACAAACAATCAAAGGCTTATAATACCATAGTGGCCCGCATATAAGATTTTTGCACTTTAAATTAAACAATGAAGGCAAATTAATCATATTTGAATGTGTTTCCACATTTAAATAAGTATAAAATATTACAATTTAAAAAATCTTTTAGCTAAATAAAGGCTGGTTATAGGCAAGCAGCCAGCTTTACTGACTGTAGTTTTACAGTGGAAGAGAATTATTTTTCTCTTCCTGGTTGGATTTGACATTATTAGTCTCTCTGTCCTCTTACCGAACCTGTCAACAGATGTGTCATTTCTGGTGGTCTTTAACGGGGAAAATGTTTTTTTATCAACACTACACGACCCATAACACAGCACCTTCTTAAAGTAACATCTGTTCTATTGAATGAATAATTGTGCATTCCTGGAAAATACAACTTGCATTTCTTAATCTAAAGAAATAAACCAATCTTATATTCGGGCCAATACAGGGCATTTAAAATTCATGTGTTGCCTTTATTTAATAGTGCACATTCAGGTCCAGAAGGAAAATGAGACTGAAAGAGGGGAAAGCTCTGCTGTACTTTCACCAGATTGGGCTTTTTAATCTTATACTATATATGACACAGTATATTGCATACACAGCTTATACAATATACAGTTACAACGGACACTGAGGAAGGCAACATACTCCATCATCATCAGTCTAGTCTGACAGTGTATGAGTATAACACAGTGTAACAGTGTCAGCCACTAATGGTTTATTCACCACCATTTCATTCAGTTTGCGTTGATCAGACTGATGATTGTTTAAATAAATCAGCTGGAGTCTGCCTGGTTAGGAAAGATGACTTACTGTATAGTTGAGTCTGTAGGTGGAGGGGGGTGGACTATTGCAGCTGTTTGGTTCTGGGGATATTCCACAGCTGAGGGATGTCTATATAGTTATGAAGGGTATTTGGTTGTCAATAAATTTGTATGCGTGTTGTATCATGTGTGTTGTAATATGGGCTAAAACACTGAACATTTCCCATTATGTCCCAGTTTCATCACTGTGATGGTCATTGCTTGCTGAATCCTGCAGTCCGTCGTTTGGCCTGGTGTGTCTCTGTATTATTGTCTGTGGTGTGACTGTTTCCAGTGCATGTAGTGTCTGTGGTATATGTATGGCCCTCGTGACCAGGGTGTGATTTGTTTGCATTTTGCCTTTTTCTTGTGTATGTGCTGCGTGTTGGGTATGTGGCGTTTGCATTGTATGCGGTATGAGTATCTCTGTGTTAGGGGGGCCTCCCGGGTCTTTCATGGCCATACTGGCTCCTACCATAGCAGGATAGCTTCGATTCCTCCTCAGCCCTGCATTCAAACCTGGGAGCCCGCCACCGAGTGCACTGTTCCCCAGTCCAGTAGATCCAAAGGGGGCTAATAGACTACTCCCAGATGAAACAGAAGCAGCATGAGGGGGGAGGGTGCGGAAACTTTTCAGTTTGTCCACAAGTCGCAGATTCAGCATCTCTGTTTGGCCATCATCATCTATTTGCCCCCCTCGCTCCCTCTCCACCTCCCCCAGTACTTCCCTCAGAATGGTACGAGCCGGTTTAGAGGCGAGGAAAGTGTCATAAAATGGGGGGTCATCATTGGTGGGGCTGAACTGAAAAACTGGGCAGGTGGTGGTAGAGGAGGCAGATTTGGAACGAGGGGAGTTGGGCGGGGTGGAGGGCTGGAGGAGGAGGGTGTCTGGGCGTTTCCCCAATCGTCTAGGTTTGGTTTCCCCAGGTATGTCGCCGCTCTTCTTCGCTTGCGTTCCTACCACGGGTGTCGAAGCTCCACTGGCATCAAACCCTCGGTCCCAGCTGCGAGGGTCATACACTGAGGCAGAAATCCCATGCTCCAGCAGGAGGCGCACCAGGCCTAGAGAGGTGCTGGTGGTCTTGGTGGAGTCCCTAAGGTTGGTGGAGGACTCTGCTAGTGAGAGCGAGAGGGAGAGGCGTCGTGGGGTGCAGCAGGGGGTGTAGGAAGGTGTGGGTGGGGCAGAGAAGGGTATAGGAGAGGAAATGGGGGTAGGGCTGCTGATGCAAGCGCTGCTCTGACAAGAGCCTAGAGCTGAGCTGGAGATGGAGGAGTAAGGGGTGGAGAAATGGGTGAAGGAGGATAGAGGAAAGAGAGGAGGAACGGGGCATTGGGTGTGCAAGGACAGAAATAAATGGTCATGAGTTATCAAGTCTTAATACTTGGTTTTTAGTACAATTAACACACAACCTAAAACATAACTGCAGTAATCAAACCTTTTTCCTGTTTGGGCGACTAAAATGTGGAGTTCAGATCAGAATAAAATCAGAGTTATTTGTTATCAGTAGTGACAAAGAACTCATTTTTACACACATTATTTGTCACACAATAACTTAATTATTAGAGCCCAGATAGTAGCTACACGGTGAAAAGAAACTAAGCACTAAAGTCCACTTGTTGGTCTTCATTCAGTAAATGGAGCTGACTCACACTTCACTAGAGTCAAAGTTTTGCCTATTTTTGCTGGGAGCTGCGTGCAGTTCCCAGCAAAAATAGACATTCTTACTCATACTGACATTATGTCATCAACATATAGACATATATCTACACATAGATATACAGTTTCAATGTCTATACCTGAAGAATATGTCACAGACATGAAAGATAATAACACCTCCTGTATCTGACTGAGATTGAAAGCATTTGTGGTCAGAATCCATTCATATGTTAACAATGCTTTTATTGTACCGTATTTATCAAAGGCAAACTCAGTATAGAAACACAGGGCTCTCTGTGTGGATACCACAGGCGTGGGAGCTGCTGCAGTTCAGTGAGGCAGCTGTCACACACTGCTCAAGTAGGCACTGTGGACGAACCATCAGGCGTCATCACATTACCGGTACCTTTATCTGGTCCTTGGTTCACATGGGCTAAGTGGTCTTACACAAGGAGGATATATCAAAGCAGACCTCAAAGTAATCCAGTCTTTTGGGTGTACCAGCAGAGGTCTTAAAGTGTTCACTGGTTTGTTGTAGGTGCTAAATCCCTGGCATTCCATTGAGACAGGGTTTACGATCTCCCCCAGTATACAACCACTTGTTATCAACTGACCAAAGGACCAGATCACATGATTACACTTGAGCCAGTGCCTGTCGCTGAATGAAGATACTACATGTGTTTAAAAGCTCTGAATGCTAGGAAGTGGACCTTTGTTCTTAGATTATTTCCACCACATACTATTCTCAAAGATTGAACAACCACGCTCAAATCCTTACAAAGTTAGATCTGATCGGTAATTTGAGTCACAGCATTGTGTCAGAAGCTGGATTGTTAGTTTGAAACATGTCAGCAGAGAACATTAGAGGCAAATTGCTGATGTTATTCTAGTTTAAACACACCCACAGTCTTATGGAATGCACTCCCATGCATTGCCTCACCCATGTGCACCCCAGCGGGTGCACTCAATGGGTCTGCTCTACTCCGGCCATGACAACCATATGATACAACTCCACTTCATCCTCCTCATCACTTGACCTGCCAAGGCCAATCAGACAGCAGGGACTTAGAGAGTATGAAGTCAGGTGAGTGTGGCATCAAAGTAGCCCTGCCTCAAAATCTATTGGAGGGGGACAAGAGGGGAATTTGCTCCTTGGCAGAGAAGCAGCTATTTGATTTACAGCACACAATGGAGATTCAATGTTATTACACTAGGTCTCCATTCATTTTCTGTGTAAGGGTTCCTGTTTACAGTAGATGTGCCATTTGATTTAATGCAACAATGGAATCTAGATAGGAAAATGACTCCATCTTGTGTTCATAATAGTACACTACACTCAATTGTACACATCAAAGACTAAATAATATTTCTACAGACATTTAAAAAACAGAATAAAGTGATAAAAGTAGTCAGGTGTTGAAGATGTTTACCTTGGGGACACAGAGGTCAGCTGATCCGAGGGGTGGAGAATCCGGCAGGTGGTGAAGGTGTACGTAGAGCTAGTATGGGACATACACTTCCCTGGGAAATTAACTACAGGAACGGAGAAGGAGAATAGAGCAGAGGAGAAGGCTGTAAGTACTGAGACAAAGGGCACCAAGCAACACTGTAAAAAAAAAAACACAACAAAGTGGAGAGAAAAAAGGCCATGATCATAGTATAAGCCCCAAGCAAAAGCACTGGCATATTGGCTCCCAAATTAATAAAGTATTGTAGTGATGATGGGGTGTGCAGATTCCATGAAACAGAAATTGTGTCCCAGGGTTCATTTCAACAAAGTCACTTCAGTCATGAAAGGTATTCACTGAATATCCACAAAGTATGAGGGAGATTTCACTTTCATTATCTGAAGTCATACATATGTTTTGATCAAAGGATAGGTTCACAAAGTTTGTGAGTTTGGCCCAGAATGTGTGCTGTAGTGGTAAATGCAGGATTGTCACTTTGTTCAAACTCATGTTGGTAATGATGTGATGATGTAGTTTTGGATTTTAAGTTTGTATTGTTTAATTTTATGTTGTATGTCTTGTGTTTTGTCTCTTAACATCTTGTAACCATGTTGAAAATATATTGCCACTTTAACATGTTTTTTTTTTAATGTCTGCAATCAATAACTAAATGAAATCATATATCATGTGTGTACTAAGGTGACCCTACGCCAAAGCTACTGGTCAACTCCAATATTAACCCACTGTGGGTGTCATGTGATCATGTGACTTGGACAGCTGCACTAATAATACCCGATATATACGTACGTGCCCACATACCAGACCCTAGCCATGATATTTCTGCATGCATGTGTTTGTGTGGTGAGCTAGTGTTGACTGCTAGAAGAAATTATTGCCACAATGAATTTTCAATGAATCACAACAAAACAAGAAACTTATTCTGTGCTGCAGGTCATCAGTGAAAGATTGAGAGATTAATATAATTATATATATACATATACATATATCTATATTAGAATAATTAAAGACACCATTAAGTTATAGACTTCAGAAGATTTGTTGAAGAGGATAGGCATCGCTGAAGATCGAAAAATAAGTGTGATTGGTTGAAATGAAGCAGAGTGTGGCAGTGAAAGGAGGTGTGAACTGAGAAGGAAGACGTGAATGAATGAACAAAAAAAACATGTACTCTGAGTTGATGGGGTTCGATGGCTGCACAAGGACTGCCGGTAGGACGGGTGGGTGTGCAAGGTGTGTGCACATGAGCGTGATCGTGCAGGAGAGGATGTCACTTTGGGGTTGTGAGATGTCCAGTGAATGCTTTTTCTCAAATCCCTCACCCTCCCACCCCGCGTCTTACCCCCTCCCCTTTACCCCCATGCTCCAGGATTACATGGGATGGTGGATGCAGTGCAGTGAGCTCAGCTAAGTGCTCCCTCACCAGGCAAACGGTCCACTGTGGCGGGCTGTAAGGCCTGGAGCTCCTTGAGGTCCACATGCCCGTTCATCTCAGAAGAAGAGGGGAGAGGAGAAGAAGACAGGGAGGGTCTGGAGAAGGAAAGGGGCATGTTTGCAACATGTCCATCTTTTACTTGCATCATTTCTCTAGCTCGGCACATTTCTCCTTGCAATGTTTCTGATTGGCTGTCGTCATCGACGTCTCCGTTTTTGTTGCAGCAGACGGGAGAAGAGGTAGAGCGAGGCAGATCCATGGGAGCAGGGCTCTCTCCTGACAAGCCAGTAAATGAGTCACATGAAAGTTCGTCCTCCTCTGGTTGGTCCAGTTGCCAGTCTTCCTGCTCTTGCTCGTGCGCTAAAGTGCGGAAGCCCTTCGTGACCACACCGGGCCGATGATCCAGCAGAGCTCCCATGTGGGGTTGAGCCAACTGCTGCCAAGCATGGAGAGTAGCAGAGCCTGGGGAAACAGTCAGAGAAACACTCAGGTTAACTCAATCTGTCTTAAGTTGCTCTCTTTCACAAATGCATCTCAGAACTATGGTAAAAGTGACCTTTTTTTAATCAATATCAAAAACTTGTAATTTGTCAATAAATATAAAAAAAATTGCAAACTAGATGCTTTTAAAATGTCTTACTATTGTGACCTCAAGGGCAGTGGCAGTGTTGGTCATAATCACAGAAGGGCGAGCAAATGCACACAGCTAGACTCAGCCGCAGGCCTGCTTCCCTAAACTTAATACTGCAATCCAACCCAAATCACATCAGCTTCAGTCTCCCCTTACTTCTATAAGGTTTACATTTTATTACAGTATCATATGCTACATGCAAAAACAGAGCACTACACTGTATGTAGACAGTGACATTATGTCTGTTCAGTAAATGTCATTTCTATGTATAAATGTTTAAAAATAGATCAAAATCAGCTGTTCACTGGCAGACATTATACTGTATATAAACAGATACATACACAGGCAGACAGTAGAAACACACACACCCGAGGGGACACAGTATAACACATGCATATTAACAGCCACACAATTAATGTCACACAGACAAGATGGACAGGATAAAGCATATTCTTTGACTGTTACTGTTAATATTTCTTCAAGCAGCACGTACAGACTGTCACACATACTGCAGTAACAGTGAATAAAATGCTGCTGTACGCAATGTTTCTCTGTTTATTGAGCTTCCTTGCACTTAGTAAACTGGTCACATTTCAAGTCCAATGAATGGTTGTTTTCTCGTGACACATGAAGGGCCTTTGAGAGATGTCAGTACACAGACCCATCAGACAAACACAAAAAGAATGAGAGAAAAAGGAAGGTGAGAAAATTAGTAAGATTTTATTCAAGAAATCATCAACAGAGAAAACAGACAAGTTGAAGAAAAAAAGAAGTAAAGTGCAAAGACAAGACAAAACAAAAATGAAGAAAAGAAAAAGGTGGAAAAAAAGAGGAGTGAAAGGGATGGACAGTACATACAGTAGTATGGCACTAATGTAGCAGAAGAAACTGTCTCTACACTTAAGTCTCATACAGTAAGAATATGCCAAAACTCAAATATTGGTATTTCTTAGTTAATTTTAAATTAGATAGTCATCTGACATCAGCCAGAATTATTATACATGAAATAATTATGAACACAAATACTATGAGGTTACCAAGAAATAACAAATCAAATAAATTCTCACATCTCAGACAACCATCATTAGACTTGAAATTAAACAGTGCCACATTTATTGTCCTTCACCCCAAAAGAAAAAGGCCATGTTTAATTTTGTCTTTTAATTTAAGCACATTATCTGGTGTTTATGTATCACGTTTCAGTGTTACCATGCAAATGCTGTACTTGAGTTTGAACACTAGGTGGTGCCACAAAATAGGAAATACCTCTGTGACAACAGTTTTAAAAACTGTGTCCACTTAAGATTGGGAAAATGCTTTAAAGAGAATTGTATCTTAACTGCATCATTGTGTGGATAAATACCTGACATCAAATATATTTACAATTCAACTACATATAAACTCCATAACCAATACAGTATGGGAATAAATACTTATAGGATAATATTAAACCATCTATTAAAAAAACAAGGCATAAGAAAACTGTGTTGAAAAATATGTGTGCCATTTAAAATACCACATATTGACTCTCTCTCACTGCAAAAAAACTGAGTGCTCACCATTTGTGATGTATTTGGGATAAATGTAACACTGGGAACTAAACTAAAACTGACATAAAGGCCATTCATGCAATATCCCTTTATGGTACGGTATACATTTTCATAAGGGTTGAATCTTACACTTCAATCTATAATCTTCAAAGATATATAGCACAAATGTATATGTAAAACAATAATGGGTGTTAATGGCTTCACACCAGCAGCACATAGCAGGCTGTCTGGTATTCTATACTTCAAACCAGCAGCGAGCCCGTGTATTTCTGAAGTAAAAGGAGTGCTGTAGATTTAAACTGCCTTCCTGTTGCTCCAACACCTCCAGCAGACCTGTGACTAAAGCCAGTGGAGCTCTGAGGTGAGGCTGTGAGCGCCGCAGGCTGCTCAGCTCCAACAAACTGGAGCTCCTCTGCAGGGTCTTAGGGCCCTGTGAGGCACTCAGACAGATGGTGGAGGGACTGTGCTTTTGAAAAATCAGATATTGATTCGGCTGCTGGTTGTGAAGGGCTTGTTTTTGGGGAGTATGTAAAAATATACATTTTGAATTTGTCTGATTTTGATTCTGTTGAGGTTGCTGAAAACTTTCATTTTCATTGTGCACATTCTGAATATTAGAGGACTTGTGTCTCTGAGAGGAATAATCACCTTCTAGCGGCTTTACAATTTGCAGCTTTTCCGGCAGGTAGGATCTCGCTGTGAATGAGTATCCCGACCAGACGCTTCCGAGGGAGGGATGCGAGCATAGCGACAGCAGGCTCTCCGTCGGTGTTCCCGGTCCTCCGCTACTCCCCCCACCTCCCTTTTCTTCCTCTTTGGCCAGGTAAGCCAGCTTTCTCTCCCTCTCCTCCTCGAAGAAGCGTTTTTCTGAGAGGTAGTTGTCGCGACGGAGGGACAGACGCCGAAGGGCTGCCTCCAGGTCCCTGCTACCCGGGGTCCCTGGGGTGCCAGGGGGCCGCTTGTTAGAGTCCTCTGACCTGGGGAGAGGCACATAGTTGACATTGTTTGGGTTTCAGTAGAGAGTTTTAAAAGCAGAATGTCTCTCCTTCTCAGTTTTGTTATTTTGTAAAGCTCAGTTGTTACCTATTGTGTTGGATACTAATAAAAAGGCAGCAGCTAATGACTGAAACCTGAAACTAAGGCTAGAGCTAGTTACTAAGCACAACATAAACAACAGGAATACACTAACAAACACCAAGGTTACCAATAAACACAAAAATTAGAGTGGCATCCCATTAGTTGTTGGAGAAAATGAGGACGAAAGAGGAAATAAAAAGCATAGAAATGAGATTCAAAACGAAGAAAATCTAAAATGTGAGTTGTGTAAAATGTGTCAACCTGTCCGTACCCATCATCTGGACTCTCCAGGATACTGCTATTCCTGTTGTCCAGGAAAATCCCACTTCCGATCTCACTACTATATATGGAGTTGGAGCGAGGTGTGCCCACCCTGCTGGAGCGCCCTGAGGTGAGGCATGATGTCTGATTGGAGCCTGGGATGTTGAGAGGGGAGGGGGCTAGTGATGAACGCTGCTGACGCATCAGGTTGAGGTTTTTCACTGTCTGGAAAACTCGCTTTGGTTGCAATCTGGAGAAACATGATCACATAAATATCGAATTGAGGGTTTTTTTAACATATCAACCTAGAACATTTCGCTATACAGTCAGACCAAATCATCAGCAACCCTTTATCCTTGTTTCCTTTAAGCTGAGCCTTTTTGATACCTCTGCTCTTCTACATCCGGGTCATCCATCTGTAATTCCTTCCTCATGGTGCCCTCTATTTCTGCTGCCAGAGAGTCCTGAAGAAGAAGGCAAAAAAATGTAAAAGGAGTTTGTAGCTGCTGGGGGCCATGGAGATACTCTGATACTTGTTCAAGCTCACCATTGGGAAGAGACCCAGAGAGTGGAAACGCCTTGGTGTGCTGAGTGGTAGAGTTTTATTTCTTAGGTTCTTCAGCTCCTCCTGAGCCTCATGAAGCATCTCCATACACTCTGCATACTTATCCTGCAACTCCCGCAACTGGAGGAAGGGAAAGGAAAGGAAAGACCATGAGAGACGAGACAGGAAGCATTAAGAAAAAAACTCTTAAAAAAAAAGAGACAAACTGTGCTACAACATGTAGGTGTAGTTCTGTTTTCGTTGATTTAAAGCGCTTTGTAATGCAGGTTTTATATTATTTGTGGTGATGTGGAATGTCTCATATTGAACCATTATTGATTATACTGTTATCATAAAAAATACCCTGCATAAGTGTATGCTTCTGAAGGAGTATACACATCTAAGGAACAGGATTTGGTCCTAGGCAGGCTCTTCTAGCGACATATTTATTGGTGGAAGCTGCCACTGCAGAAAATGAGGATGATGTAGCCACGGTCAGAGCGTTGTGGATTGCCTAACCTCAGCAGTGAGTTGTCGCTGGGCGTCCTTGGCTGCCCCCAAGTGCTGAGTCAGCTCCTCATTCTCCACGGCATACTACAAACATGCCAGACAAAATAGGACAACACTGTATCCAATGTATCCACACACACAGGCATTAATAAGGCAAATATACAGCAGATAGTTTACATTATTAGTATGAGAGATGACTAGGGGGAGTTTCATACCAGCTTGGCCTTCTTCTGGAGGTCTACTATCTGGGAGAGGAGGTGTGTGATTTCCTCCTGCTGTCTGGAGACGTCGTCACTCTTCCTGGCCAGCTCTTCAGCCAGAGAGGAAATCTGCAGGTTGGAATTACCTGGAAGCATCAACAGGTGTTCAAGTGAGAATCTGCCAAGAAAAACCTTCCCCGCTGCCTTTAGGGAGTGAGACAGCAGTCGAAAGATGTAACATTGAGCATAATAAAACTCCCGCCAGTCAAATACTCACGTAGTTCTTTGACACAGTCATTGACAAGTTGCTGCTCTTTTTCCTCATAGGAGATAGTTTCTGTCTCCAAATGACTGGCCTGAAAAAACAGACATTACTTATCAATACTACACACTGTAGTCATTATTATTTAACCCAATGAATGACTTCTCTTCAAAGATAACCAGAAGGTCATGTTTACACTTGTTTTACAAGACATTCTAATGAACACAAACAGTATTTCTGGCAACAAGTGAAATTAAACACACTAGTTTTTAGTTGTGTTGGGACTACAGGTGCTAATTAGCTTAGCTTAGTTTAGAGTTAATGTCAGTGTTGATTAATGTGCATTGTCCCATATAAATAAACACATAAATAAAATAATTAGATTTTGATGATCATTATGTTTGGTTTAAACTTTGACATAGCTTACTATTACATGGGTTATTATGATTTTTGGAAACAATATTTACATGCAATGTAAAAATGTTAACATACTTTGATAAGTAATCAAAGGAATAATAATATAGATTTACTTAAAAAACAAGAAAATGCTGAAATGTATTAACGATGTGTTTGTTTAGTGTGTGTTTGTTTAATTCAAGCGTGAATGTGTACCTCAGATCGCAATGATTTGTTTTCTTCCTCCAGATCTTTGAGTTTCTTCTGCAAGGAGTCCAAGGGGAAAAAAGTTGGAGTTGACACATTGGTTTCACTGGGACGCACACTGTAAACACACCCATGAGAGAGAAACTTGAATCAGTAGGTCAATCACTCATCCATTACTATGCTGTGAAATGCACATTATATGCAGTAGTGGGAACAACCTCTGTAGTGTTGATCTTATTATTATTATTATTATTATTATTATTATTAGTCTACTACTCTCTTTCACATTTTAAAATTATTTTTTCTTCACGCACACAAATGGAGATTTGTTATTTGTTAGTGGGGCAATGAAAAATCAATTTCTAGTATTATCGGCTGTCAAAAATAATGGGTAGTTTTCATTAGACTTAACTTTCAACGCACAAATGCACTGCATGATTTTAATCTAGAAGGACAGAAGAGGAGATGAAAGGAGACTTACGGTGTGGAGGTGATAGACTCCCCCTCACTCTCCTCAGCAGCGCTGGTATAGAACTGTAACAACTCATCTTTCATGGACAAGTCATGACGCAACTGAGAAACCTATTTGTGGAAAAGGGAAAGAGATATGTAGATAGATGACAGTTAAATTAAAAGAACACAAACCATAACAAAGCACATTCAGAGACCACCAGTATGTGGTCCTATAAAATATGACAAAGACTATATACACTTTGTTTATAAATAGGGCTGCACGACATGGTTATTTTTACAGATATTGCGATATAATTGACGATTTGTCATTTTAAATTTAAATTACATTTAATTTAAATTAAAATTTTCAATGAAAAATTGTGATGTGACATTTTTGGGGGTCTGTACCAAACAAACATGTTTTCTTAAATCTAGAGATCAGGATTTGTAGGCCAGGGAATCTCTGCACTTTGACTGTTCTGTCACACATTTTACCTTTATTAAAAAACTGTAGCTTCTGCAATTTGCATATTGCACTTGGTCATATTGCAATTTAGATAGTATTTCAATTAATTGTGCAGAAATGAAGACATTTCCCAAACACTGTCACATTTGACCACCAAATACAGAAGCACACACACAAAAACACGCTCCTGCTGTGTACCTCCTCTCGTATGTGCTCTACTTGCTCTTCCAGCAGTTCGTTCCTCTCACTGAGGGCTTTGTTTTTCTTCAGCAGTGACTGTCCGATGCGAGCTGCTAACTCCAAGTCACGCTCTTTCTGCACCGACACAAAGTTTTCTTTAGTGTTTTAACAGCAAAACAGTTGAAAACATTGCAGACATTGAAGGAATTATACGTTTATTCACTTTCTTGTCGTGAGGTTGACTTTTGCCTTCAGACAGAACCTCGCCTAGTCTGTATGCTAAATTAACTGGCTGCTGGCTTCATATTTAACAGATGGATATGAGAGTAGTTTGATCTTTTCTGACACACTGCAAGAAAGTGAATAAGCGTTTTTCCCAAACTGTCAAACAACTCTTTTCAAATGACAGCTGTGCAAATTTGTCCTCTAGGAATAATGTTTGTGAAAGACATGCAACAAACAAGGAAGGAAAAGGTGGAACAAGAAAGCCTCAGAAAACTCCCAACAAAGAACAATAATTAAAAGCTTATTATGTGCCAATGAGTGCCAGCCACTCCTGTTTTACATCTGGCTGCAATCAGTAACAATATTATTCGTCTTAAATGCTACATGCTACTGGTAAACACAAAAGTCCACATCCATTTAGATCAGGAGGTTTAGCTTAGTGTTACTAAACTCAGAATAGTGAATATTAATGCATTGTCATCACAAGGAAGTTAACTTTTCTAGGTAATGGAGGGCAGTACAATGAAGTCTCCCGTAATGAAAACAGTTGTTCAGTCTGTTTGTTGATGGTTTGACATCTTTTAGTTAATAGTTAGATGGCTGGCTGGCTGGCTGTTGAATTCCATGATTCATTGAACAATGATGCTATTCTATTTTCACAGTTATTTATGCAGAGAGCTGGCTGAGCTCTTCACCAGTGACGTCCTGCCTGACATTCTGATATGGATGAGCTATATTTGAATATCAGCTGCAGAAACTAGTTTTATGATGTGGTTCTATCAAACCTCCTCTGTCATTAACCTCATAAAGCAACCTGACTTTAGACTATCAGACCACATAATAACGGGACCAAAGCGCCTCACAGTCTGCATATACTGTAGTCCTTTATGTTTTGATCTTTTGCGATGATCTTACCTCTTCCAGTAGTCGAGTGACAGCATCAATGTCACTGTAGGTCTTCGTCATCTGGCCCACTCTGTCAGCACAAAGTACTGCAAAGACACAAAGACAGAAAAAAAGTCTAAGTCTCAAGAGAATATTTCCAAAAACAAACTTCTGTGAGTTTTTGACTGTAGATGGCTGAGAATATGTTGCTATGAGCTCACAATGTAATTTAGGGAGAGATATATGTCAGCTATGGTTTTAAACAGCATGAATAATTGTTACAAATTATATAAGATGACTCAACTCAAGATTATATAAGATTCTCAGTGTTTCTAACACACAGCACTGCTACATGTTAGATTTCATATTGAAGTTAAAAAAACAAAAAAAGGACCTCCCCTCTTGCTCCTCCTATCGTCTTTCTTTTCCACCGTGTTCTTGTTCTCAGCTCATGAATCATATTATATTCCTAAGAAGTACACACCCACATACTACATACACTACACCTCTATACAGACCCACCTATTCATCAACCTATATGTCTAGTGATTTAGAAAAGATAAGCAACTCTATTCTGGACATAATATGAGTGGTCACACCCCAGCACTGCTATTTCAGCTGAATGAGCACGTTCATTATCAATTCCTTCTGTCCTCATACAAAGCTCTGACTTCAATTACTCAGCCTCCAGTCTAGACTGGAATTATTATTCACCTCAAAGGGCAAAATTCAAACAGGGTCTTGTCGGCAGAATACACGATATGCAACTGCAGAGTGTGTTTGAAGATAGATAAAATGACTTGGTGTGGATATGACAGGATGAGGATGCTTATTTTTTAACTGCCTTGTTAGTCACTTTTAACACTGAGTTGGAGAGAGACGGTGTGTGATGTTACACTGTCTGGAGGTGTAATGCCAGGGGACACAGTGAGATAATATGATGCACACGATTACAACACAAAACAATTGAACTATTTCAACTTCCACAGAAATAATAATATATTCCAGTCTAGAAGGACAGATTTCATATAAGGCATGTGCACAGCAGTGCTAACTCAGAGGCCTCCCAGAATGCAAAACAGAGCTAGCCAATGCAAACATTATATTTTCATATCCTCATACGTCACAGGCAGCGTGTGGCTGCTAGAAACACAGACACAAGGCCTCAGCTGGCTGTGCTTTAGTTAGAGATACGTCCCATCATTACCATCCAATATTGAACAAGTTGCTCTTTTCTCTTTCAAGGTTGAATGAGTGTGCATGACACTGAGCAGCTCCACATGGGCATTTTGTTTGATTAAATAAGGGCACCTTAACATGTTTGTCATTCATTTGGTCCAGGATTTGAACCTCTATGAACCCATCACAGATCAGACAACTGTTCACCACCTTATTGAGTATGTTCACATTCCAACATTTGCTAAAAATTCTTATTTTTTTATAGTACGAATTAAAATGTTGATTATTATTATTATTTATTTGTTTAAAAAACAAATAAACAACATGAAACCACACACACACACACACACACACACATTGTGGATGAGTTAAGGCACAGGGTGTTACCATGGGAACAAATCGGCATGATAACCAAGTAACACTCATATGTGTACGTGCTCAGACACACACACACATAATGCATCACTTGTATCTGTCGACTACCTGGCCAACAAAGAGATTGTACACTTGATAGCAAAAGGTGCCGCCTGTTTACCTGTCATACCTGTGTGTGTTCTTCCTGTTGACGAGGAGCATGTTGGTTTATTTCCATGGCAATACTCCACCCAAGTTGGATCAATAACTGGGTAAAGCTAAAACTGAGTAATGCAAGCGTATAGGCCTATAGCAAAACACTGCCTCGATAACGACAGCGGACACCTTTACTTCTACCTGTGGCTGTGTAAAGACGGTATCCAGGCTAAGAAGGAAGCCGAGTTGCTGAGACACGGACGTGGTTGAATAGAAACAACAACATGGCTGTGATCCTAGACAAACAACTACTTATCTCTTGTACCAACAATTCTGTACAATTAGGAAATGTAATTATTAACTATAAATAAAATAGGACTTCCTGCTCTTTCAGTGAGGTCAGCAGACAACGTAAATGTAACCTTCTCTTACTGATTTACTTTATTAATCCACTTTGGTGAAGACACAGGTCAGAGAAGGCAACTATAACCTGGATTGCGTAATAGGAGGTGTAACTTAATATTGGAAGGTGATCGGGATGTTTTCTTGGTGTTTTATACGGTGAGCAGGTAACTGAAGACAGACGCACTCGCTTGCTCTCTCTCTCCCTCACAACAGGCGTAAAGTTAAACAACTATATGGGTTCTACCTTGGTGGATAACTTTGGTCCCTCAGAGTCATTAAAGCTCAGTAAGAACCTATTAGCAGACTCCTGGCTTTAGGTCTGGCTCTATCAGCCTCCGTGTTGCTACTGGGGCAACAGACAACACACAGGTTCAAGAACAACAAACAAACACCAAGACAACAGACAGAAAGGAGTCCTTGTTATTCAAATAAATACCCCCAATCCCAGGCTGCTTTGAGCTGTTAAAATGTCATGTAATGTGAGTGTGTTAAGTACCATTTCCTTATTGGACCTGGGCTGATATTAATCTGAATTGCCACAATAAAAACATGTGTATGCTTCAGTGTCTCATGCACTGTCCGAAATGCTTCACACAGGATCAAAGTGACATCAGAATTTCTCTCTTTTCATGCATATTTTGTAATAAACCCTCATTTTAGTTACTTTCAGTTGATCAGATCACAGAAGTGTGGTACAGTGCATTCGATTTATACGTATCTCTTACAATGCACATCCTTCTGTGTCATCAACAGCCTGTCTCTGTCTTTCAATTGTCTTTCTAACCATGTCTGTGAAAACTTCAGTCTGAATATTAAACCTTGAAATAAATCCCAGACTAAACACAAGCTCAAAACCTAAATATCAAATAAGATATCAAAGAGCTTGTGCAATTTCTGTAAGCAAACATACTGTGGCATGCTGGCATAAAGCTGGTATAAAGAGCCAAGCCCATATTTGAACATGTCAAATCAGCAGGTAGATGAACCATGCTGTGCTGAGAGCAGATATCTGCTGGATAACACCACAACCCACAGGAGACAAGATACCCTTTTAAATGTCACACTAATATCCAATAATCCCTTTTGAAATCCACATAGCTGAAGAACAAATGAATTAAGACAGAACAAAGGTCCGATACACTGAGCAAGCTAGCGCACAGACTAGCCAGGACCAAGAAGAAGAGAAGAAGAGCACATGATGAGACCACAGACTACCTTCACACAAAACTTGTTGCTCTTCATCCATCTCTTCTTCATCCTCTTGCTCTGTGCTTCCATGACTGGGAAGACAGACATACTCCTCTTCCACCTCTTCTTCTTCTTCCTCCTCCTCCAGCTGCGTGCTTTCACGACTGGGTAGACGAACATATTCCTCATCCTCCTCTGTCTGGTTGGAGGACTCCAGCTCGGTCTCGGTGCCAGCAGCTGTGAGCAGTGCCATCCTCCACTCTGGCACTCAAGCTAACTACTAAACCACAAAGCCTGCCGGTGCAGCGCCACTGCTCCTGCCTGGGCTGTCTGCATTTGTGGGTGTGTGTGTGTATTTTAAACTATAAACCAATACTTAATCTATGTGAGCCTAGATGTGAAAGTACACATCTGGCATAGTGTTTGTTCCAAAGAGGACAGTGTATGGTATGTCTCCCTCTCATTGTACTGAGTACAAAATAATGTCTGCCGAGTGAGTTTCTAAAAGTCTGTGTATCACTTGTGCCCCGTGGTAGCTCTGTGAGACAGATAACCTGACTCCTCCCCATCTCCTCTGTGACTGGTCAGTGAATGGCCTACTCTACTTTACCACAGACAGGGGGAGTGGACACACACACACACACATATATATAAAGGAGTGTCCATTAGCTATTTAAGGTCATAAAACTAGGTTAAAATAGATTTAATACAACAGATGAGAGCATTTAAAATAATCTGTATCCTTTAACCCGGTGATCCAAACCCTCAACCCATTTCCACTTTTTCAATTTAAAGGGTTGAGATACCAGTTTCTCATGTATGCTTCAGATCCAATGAAAGCAAGTCCTTTTACAACCCCCCTCAAGTGAGAGTAACTTGGTACAGTCCTGTTCAGCTTCTATGGTGACAATAGGGCAAAGCGAACAATAACAGACCTGCACCTGTTTCCAGGGTGGGGCCAGTCACTGTGAAACTTTAATACAGTAGGTAACTGTTTTTACACATATTCAACCTCGTCGTCAGGTGAGACTCATGGGATAGCAAGTTTAATGTGGTGGCAAACAGTCACATGAATACTCAACGAGAGATTCAAGAATTGTCAGTTTGAGCATTTACTGCTCTTCAATCACCCTTAACAAGAATATAATGTGAAGCAGAAGATAAATAATGTTCACATCATTTTTATTATAAAATATGTTTAACTTGCGATTCCAATACTTATTTTATACAAATACTTATACAAGCATGTAAATGTTGAAGACTGGAAAGACATAAGTGAAAGGGTTCCAACCTATGATGTTATAGAGACAGTACACTCACATCTTTCTACAGCTACAGCCATATAAACTGAGTGTGCACCCTGTGCTCTCCATGAACTGCACGGACAAGATTCAACATTCCTGGATGTTGGAAGAAAGACAGGTCCAGAGTCCTGTACTGGTTAAAAAATGACTAAAATAAAAGTGGAGTGAACAGAACTTCATGTGAACTGAAGTGAGAAGAAAATGGACATTTCTTTATCAAAAACTGGGAGATCTTAAAATAAAAAATATTTTAAAAATAAATAAAAACTTCTGCTCTGAAAACTGGCACAAAAGACAGTTTATATCAACCTCAAATACAAGAACAGAGAGAACTGGGTCAAGCTGATCGGACTGTGCAGCGTGTTCTGTCTGGGTTTCTGGAAAATGGACACAAAAGTCCAATGCCAAACTTAAACCATTAGTGGAGTCTTTGTAAAAGTTTCATTAATACTGACTCATATGTTTACTTTAGTTAACCATTCAATGTATACCCTTTATCACATCATTCAAATGTTTCAGCTAAGGCTGACTGGTTAAGCACCAACATAAGCTCTACTGATAGTCAGTTCACTCAAAAACAACCATATACAATCCGTTCCTATAAAAATATGAATGGTATAGCTGCCTTGGTGGTGTAGTGAAAAATACATATAGTGACCATTTTTGAAAACCTTTTACCATTACATACCCTAATACTTTCCAGACTTTTCTTTTCCACATTCATAAAGACAAATCGAGTCTAATTGTACATACTGCACTGTATCTCAATGTCACATGACTATTTGAGTTGAGCTAGTACGACCCATACCTTCATAAATGAATATGGGCCACATCAAAGCTGCCTAATTTTCTGCTCATTAGTCACTGCTCAAGTGTTATAATTACTGTAATTGGTCTAGAAAACTGATGCCAGCTCAGGAGCGTCCTGCATGCTTGAGTAACTCCACTCAATGGTCCTTAGGATGCAATGCTGCAGGCAACAAAGGAGTCGTGGACAAACACCACTTAGTGCTTCTTTCTCCCTCTCCCATTGCTTTTCTGGTCACATTCACTCTTTACACTCCACTTGTTCTTCCGTTTTTCCTTTCATACACCCTTCCGTCTTCTGATGCGATTTGTTTGTCCAGTCTCTGTTGGTATGCTTTATACAGTAGTTTTAAAGAAAATTACTAAGATGGACAAGGAATATATACAATCAACGCGTTAGACAGTTACATGTATAACGCTGATGCAATCAAGAAATCCACTTAGCTAAAATTGTCTGCTATGGCTCTTGGCTTCACATCTCTCTACTTGTGTCTCTTGGATTTCCTACTAACAGTTTTCTTTGGCACAGAAACAGTAGCAACATTACCAACAGAGCAGAAACAGCCAGGGAACTACTATCGGTCCTGCTGCTGACTGACAGAGTCGCTGAAATACAGCAGAGTAAAGTTAACAAAGCTCCCAAGATCAAATATTTCTTCCAGTGATGAATGTGGACTTATTTCACACTATACAGGTGAGACAGTTACCTATATAGACTTCAATAACCCTAGTTTGCAGTGGGCTCTAACGGTTTCCAAAACCCCATTGAAACTTGCTGACACAAAAATGTTTTGTGTCCCAGCTCACATTTTGTTTCCTCTAACTATTCCTCCATTCTGTCACATCCCCACTGGAAGAATGTTTGCCCTCTTTCTCAGACCCAACCTTCTGTCCTGGTTGCCCTCCATTGTCCAGCCATTTGTTTTGAAGGCTTCTAAAAAGTGCCAAAGAATATTTGGCAGGCTGCTATCAACAGGGTTGGCTTACAGCAGGATGCAAATCATTGAGCTAAATATAAGCCAACCTACTTCCACCTCCCTCCTCTTGCATATCTCAGAATAACACCAAACCAGCTGCTTTCTATTTCTGCCTCTACACTCCAACAGAAGATTTATCAAAGGACCCGCACGTCCCCTCTCATTTGGATATTTGATCATTTCAGCATCAAGCGCACAAAATCTACTGTCTAGCAGGAAATCAAACCCGGGTTAGCTGCCAAGGCTAAATAATACTGCAGACGTTCAAGCAGCACAGCTCACACTGAGGAGATGCTGAGCGGTCTTAAAACTGTTATGTAAGAATTTGTACAGAGCATCCCTGGAACACATGCACAGCATAGTGCACATAAAACTGTACTGACTGTATTCTCTTCCTTAATGCATCAGACCATCACATTACATTACATTGGTTCAGTTTTTACCTAAATATAATATCAGATTCACAAAAAAAGCTTTGCCTTACAAAACAAGAGAGGAGAGAGACGGACAGTGGTAGACAGATTCACACAGAGAGGAGGGAGGAAGAGCCAGAGGGGGTTCCAACAGGCTGGTAATAAACCAACCACTGCTATCACCTGCTGTTAGTCACACGTCACATGATCAAGCACCATCAGTCCTCCACATGTCTTAGCTGTGTGTGTGTGTGTGTGCGTGTGCGTGTGTGATCATTATCCACACAGGTAACATACTGTGACTACTGCAAGACAATACAACAAGATGTCATGAGAAACTAGGGTATATTACATAAGTGCAAATCACTGCACCAAATCCCACAATTAATCTGGCATTTTACAGCTTTGCAGCAATCTTTTCATTATACGTATCTGGTCCTTATTACTTGCTATGTTTTTTACATAATAGTTGTTTTTTTGTTTCATTTTAATCAGTCCTAAATCGTAATAAAATGGTCTCTTGACAAACCTAGCTTTCTTTCACTCCCATACTTTGTCACTTAGACAATTTACCAGCTGATTATATCTTTATTATATACCTCTTCACACAATAAACCGTTTCTACCACCTGTGTCTCTCCAGGTCAGCTGGTATCGCCCTCTTTTGCAGCACTCTTACACCGACAGCTCGTCATATAAGCTACTCCCTGGCCCTATTTTAGAAGCCACACTGACTCAGCTGCCACAGAGCACCTGTTACGACACCTACTGTACCCAGCAGCATCTGTAGCTATACAGCTTTAATTCTGCTGTGTTTGTCCTTACTGTTACATCTGCCTTCATATTTCTTTGGTGTTGTGAAAGCCAGTCCACAAGGTCACATTCACTGGGTTGTGGAAACTAGCAGAAACAAAACTGTTTAAGCTGACTCCACTAGGGCTTTAGTTGAAAGACAATAAGAGGCATTTTAAATCTTTTTGGAAGTTAATTACCTTGTAGTCCACTTTTTCCAATATGTTGAGAAATGTCTACCTAGTCACGAACCTTGTTTAATACTGACCAATCCGGCTTAATCCTGCCACTAGCTCTCTTCCTTTTAACCTCAGAGAGGACACGTTATAAAACCTGGCGACTGCTTACCAAACAACGTTACAACACAGACACATGGCATTATCGAAGCACCTCTTATATTTCTGAACCCTGAAACAGAATTAATGGTGGATAGTACTTCTTAGTAGGTATTGTGGGATGTAATGCACTGTGTACCCAGCAGCTCACTTGTTGTGTCAGTATAGTTTCTAGACAGCTTGTGTCTTGTTTTGGTACTCAGTGCATTTTACAGTATACCACAGTAGTTACACAAAGCCACCTCTACTGTATGTCCCACAATTCACTTCAACAGGAAGTACTATATATAAAAAAACAACCTCTACAACAGACATCAGTGCCCTTAGTATATAGCAGTAGTAGATGTCACTGCATCAGCAGACTGTTGGCTTACCATCAGTACACTCTTCATAGTACCAGTCCAGCTCGTAGTAGTCTGCCTTGAGAAACGTCTGGCCTCTGGTATGGCCTCGTCTCTTCATCCTCACTACTCTGACAGACAGCTGTGCTGTTTCCAACTTCCTAGCATGCTTAGAGACAAACTAGTTACTGATAGTGTCCGTTGGTCAGTCAGTCAGTGTCCAGTTCTGCTATTCCAGCATGCTTAGCAGTTACCGGCTGGCACACAGCCCTTATTGGTGACAGTCTGCTTGTTCTCATCATATGTCCTTTCTGTGCCACACTCATTAGCAGCAAACTGTCAGCGTATTATGCTCCATATTTTTTGTGGTGCTGGTGCCATTTCTGCCTGTCATCCCACCAAACCGTTACTTGCGTCATCAGTTGTCAGCAGAAAAAAAAAACAGTGTCATTTTATAGTTCTTTTCTACATCATTAATTCTTCACCGTTTCAGCATGTGTCAGTTGGAATCTGTCGCCATCTGTCAATCTGTGCCGTCTTTCTGTCTGTCCATCAGTTCTCCTCAGTCACTCCAAAGCTTCAGCAAATGTGCCAGATTCAATCCTCTCATGTCTCCGTCCATTCATAGCTTCCTGTCAGTTTATCTTCCTGTGCTTCAGTCAGTTTGTCCTCTGGCCGAGTCTTTCTGAGGTCATATTATAACCACTGTCTTCTCTTGTGTAGCATTCCTTGCTCAGTGACAGCTCTAGCTCTACACATGGACCACCGCATCTCCAACAATGACTCAATAAACACAGAGATACAGAGAGTGAGAGAGCCAGCAGCAGCAGTCACGAGTTTTGCAGCAGAAATGATGATAATCATGACACAGGGGGGTGGGTGGGGTTAGAAGATGCCTATAGCCAATCAGAGGGAGCAGTGTCACAAGCTGGCTCCCGCCCTCCATTCGTATGTAAGCATCTCCCCCCCTCCTCTCCTCTACTTTGTCCTTCTGTGTGGTTTCTATAGTAACAGGCTCAGACTCCAAGGCCCGAGGCTGAGCAGCATGTAAAAGCAGTTAGCAGGAAAGCAGTGCAGTGTTGGCAGAGGTGACGTGGCTAACCCAAAATGAATGAACACAATAGGTGTTCAGGGATTGGACATTTTAGCTGGGGAGTGATGAAATGAGCACATGGAGAGTGCATGAGAGACTGGAGCTATGTTGTGTCATCAGGGCAAAAGCAAAATGCTGAATACGGCCCAATTCAATCACAATACGAGCAACATTCAATGTCAACCAGCTTGAGAGTGCTAACAGAGACTGCTATGATGCATAATATGGAAAGATTAAGTTAAGAAAGTTCAATATCATTTAATACTTGCAGAGTAAGCTAACACAAAGCCGGGACCGATAGCTATCAGGCTAATGGCAACCTCAAAAAATGACACAGAGCAAGTCGACTTTAATAAAATGTGTTTATGATGTGTAAAAACTCCTGCTAATGAAGTAACTTGCACATAATGTGAATGCTAACTAGCCAGAGGGGTCATATAACTGTTTCAGATTTTACTTGTGTAATGCAGTGAGGTTGCATCACCCCTGGTAGGAGATTCAGTTACATTTCATCATCATATACTATATGGAGGAAAGGAGGTATCACATAAGTATATAATAATAACATATTTTACATATGTGAGCTATGTGGATGTGACGTCAACACAATATCAAGTAGCCCTCTTGGTCAGTTGTCTCCATGTCATCACCTCCTCAAACATGCCCTCATGCAGCAGGTTACATGAGCCTTTAATTCACAGAGATCTTAAACATTTAAACCACCGTGAGCTCCAGGTCAAGAATAAGCAGGACAAGTAACTACAAGTAACGTAGTATTTTACCAGTGAAACACAGCTTTATGAGCAGGATGAAATGACCTATCCCTGCTCATTCCCGGGCCTCAGGGTGTACCCGGCCATCTGTTTGAGGCAATAATGAGGAGCAACATGCCTCTAATTGGGATCAGGATAAATTGGAAAACAATGTGTGGAGAACACAGTTAATAATAAAATAATAACAATAAAGCACAAAAGCAAAGATGAATATTGAGCAAAACACCCCTTGCAGAATGTCTCGTAGTGTTTCTTATGTAACATGACCTTGTTGTTGCCTCTTAGCCTGGCTGGCTATGATGAATGTCAAGGCCAAAGTGACCGTGTTGGCATGGGGCATAAAGGTGAACTTACAGTTCCCGGTTAAGCCTATTTATAAGACGCTGGTCTATTTTTAAGGGTTGTTTTTACCCTGAGTCACAGTTCAAGCAGACATGAATTAGAACTGAATTATTGATGGTAAAAAAAAAAACCACTTTACGTTCCCTTGCTTTGCCGTGTGCAGTGTTTGCACGTGTTTTATGTGAGCCTGTGTGTGTTTATTAATTGAGTACAAGTGTGTGTGTGTGTGTGTGTGTGTGTGTGTGTGTGTGTGTGTGTTCTACAGCTGGCATAGACGCCAACACCAGGGCAGCTTTTAGACTGATAAGACAAGAGCATACACGTGCATGAATACACAACAGAGGGCTGAGTGCAAGAAAGCAAAGCATAGACCAACAGAGAGTGAGAATGTGACCCATCAGGTATGTTTGTTGTGGCAACCATGGCCAGCTGTCGCTTCCAGTTGATGAGCAGGTGGCCATATCTCTCTGATTCCTACTCGCTCAAGGTCAGTATAAATATCACCTCTCAATCTTAAATGCATTCTAACTCTTCAATAACAGTTTCATGAAAGTTTGTGTCTTTCTGAAACATATTGATACATAAACACCTGTATGTTAGGGTAATGGTTCACAACCTTTTGCCTTCAGGGACCCATTTCCTATCATTGAGTAAACTGACAATTTACTTTATATTTCTTCACAGAAGTTAACCAAATGCTGAAATATAGGCCTACTGTATATATACTTTGGTGACCCAACCCCCAGGATGGCAACCACTGTGTTAGGGGACAAGTTGTCATTGTCTGATATGGGATCACAAACCACTTAAATCTTCAGATTTGTACATTGATAGAACTACGTTTTTGTATAAGAACATCAAATTCTAACTTCAACAAGCATCATCATCATCATCATCATCATTTCGCATTGAGATGAAATACAGCATTTCTACACTAAATCATCTAAAGTAACAGTATATGATGCACTTACAGAAGTACTTGAGGGTCTCCTCTATCTGTTCAGTAGTCAGGTCGAGGGCAGAGTCGGGGGCCACCAGTGGCGTGTGCAGCCAATCATCTTGCTCGTAGCCGAAGATGGTGTCGGCCCTCAGCTTGTAGACTGGCAGCTGTTCCTCCAATAAGCTGATAATCTCAAGTTCTGGCAAATCAGTACTGTTACACACATCTGTACGGAAAGAAAGACAGGCAATATGTTTTTTTTAAGTCATAATAAACTGGCATTTCCTATAAGCAGTTAACAAAGGTGATCCTTGTCTTTAGCAAGAATAGAGCTTTATGATAGGCACTGTTATCCAAAATGTTATCTCTGGTCATTTGTAAGAATTTAGGACCTCTCCTAATAACCCATCCAAACAAGACATTTCAGCAAGCTATCAGAACAAAAAGTATATGATGCCCTCTAGTGGAAAATTGAGGAACTGACCCTTCCATCTACTGGGGAGCACTCAAAAATTGAGACCAGCTGGTTAGGTCAGGTTAATTTGTGTCATTTTGCATCCTCAGTTTAATTAATCGAATGCTGGCCTTAGGTTGGGGCTGTACAGTTTGGTTGTTAGCTTGTGATAAATGTAAACAGAATCCCATGTGTTGTGCTACAACCTTATCTAACTGGCTGCAGGAATGCATTCCTAGCCAGTCCATATAATTGAGACCCATAAGACAGTGACGCAACATGCATTTGTCTCCTTTTGTGTATATATTAGGAGGGTTTTACTATGTTATATTCCACTGTATTTACTTCTTCAATATCTGTGTAGCCAGCTGGTATTAGAAGTAATTATCTCAAAGAACTTCAGAACAGCAGTGGTGACTAGTCTATTGTCTAAGAAGAGACATATGAAGTTAACAAGGATAGACACTTGTTTGGAATTGTTCTTTTAAAGGTCTTCAAATACCACTACAGTAAAAATGTACTATTTACAGTAATCAAACAAACAGCTTCAGCTTTTATTTACACTCTATGGGAAGAGACATCAAAAGCAGGAGTCTTTGAAATGGCAGTTAAACCAGCCGACGAAGTCTCTGTAACAAAGTCAACAGCAGCCTTCTACTGAAAAGCAGTGAGTCAGCCAGAGAGCCACATTTGTGTGCTGCTGTGGAAAACCAAATAATCTTACCTAAGCGTTCAGCTATGTGCCTCCCTGTTCTCACATCAGTTTAGTGTGCTATTAAAAGGGGTCATCCATTTAGGACTCCATTAGCGTGTACAGTCTCTGTGTTCACACAGAGAGTTGAGGTTTTAGTCACTTTTTCTTTTACAGAAATGTTGAATTGAGAAGCTCTTAGATAGCCAGAATTAGCATAGAATGGGGATTAACATATAGTAAAAAATAAAGTCCTTTGTTTCTCCATCTCCCTCTATTTCTGGCTCTGTCACTCCCTCTGTCTGTCAGTCTGTCTACATGTATGTCTCTCTAACAATGCTGTCTCTCACAGCTTGCTAATCCAGACTGAATGACTGACTGTGCTGAAAAAGGGAAACACACACACACAGACACACACAGCAGCAGCTGGGAAATCATTCAGCTAGCACAGCCAATAAGGTTTCAGCACAGAAGTAAGTGCTGAATTGCAATTCTGACCAATGCCATTATAAAAAGGATATTTTACTGTAATTTAGGTATTTACTAATTCGTTCCACCTTAGAATAGTGCGATTCTCAAATAAAACACATGGAATCTATTTAAACAACACCTCTTAAATGTTAAATCCCAAACCATTACCCCTGAAACTAAATCCATATCATTATCAATTAGTGTAAAAAAGTGTTCCTGTGAGCCAGGAGCCATACACAGTTTAGTGTCCATTATCTGGTCAGAATCACAAGATTTCTTCTCTGTACTGATCTGAAATATAACCAATGCACTTCAGCTCCTAAAATGAGTGTCGATAGGACATGGATGAGGATAATAATAGCACAAACCCTTCCATGCTGTGTGTGCTGATAAAAGGTCAATGGAAACAGCAACGTGTGTGTATATGTGTGTTTATGTGTATGTTGTATCTATTATTTTTTTTATTTTCCCAGTTCTTAAACAGAAACAGCCACTACAAATTAACCAGGACTGTCCAAAGTACAAAGTAAACAGTGGTGTTGTTGTCTTCTGTTCTCTATTGCTGTCCTCTTTTTTTCCTTTGACAGAAAACAACAGTAATGGGAAACACAAGGACTACTTTACATCTAGCACTCTTAATACTGAATTAAAAGACCACCATGTAGGAACTAATTAAAGTTTCAGATTTGGGATCAATGGACAGAGATGATATGTGACTAGGAGAAGTTCAAGTTCAACATTCAAATGTAAATATAGATTGCTGGCACACAGAACACAACCTGCGGGGTCACAGCAACATTAGCAGCAGATACTAGCCACCAGAGCAAGAAAGTTCAAGTTCACATGTAAGAATAGGCCACTCTTGAAAAATTAACATACCAAAGAGAATGTATTTGAAAAGAACAAGTTTGTTAGTGTTATAACTATTGTTATTTTAATTTGTACATTATTTGCTATATTGTTTTGTCTATATGTATGTGAAAACTGTATAAAAAAAAGAATAGGCCACTCTCACACCATCAGACTGAGCAATACACACACTGAAATGTGCAAAAGACAGAGTCAGAAAGGCAGAAAGTGTCTTAATCATTATGAGATCATTCTGTAGAGACACACTAATGGAAAATTACACGGATCCAAAAACACATAGAATTTGGTCAAACTACGGTAAAGCAATAAAGTCAACAATAAAGATCAAGCAGAATTACCAGCATTAAAACAGAACTTGCTAGCTGCCAGTTGAAGTACCAAGACAGCACATATAATATAACCAAGTGTACTATCACTGGACACAGACCCAAAATTAGGTCACCAAAGGGAAGAAGGGTATACAAACACATGTGCTAGATTCAAACCCACCACACATGGTGGTTGGTGTGGATAACATTTTAGAAATGTTGCTAAACAGAATACAACAAATCCAAATGCAAAGCCTCCTCTGTCAAACAGGGAGTAGCCTCCTGTAAGCTATCACTGTAAAGTAGTGCAACTTGTAGCAAAGTGATAGTAAAAGAGCCAAGTTGACCTTTCAATGATACATTTCATTGTAAACTTTTAACCTTAAAAACCAACTTCAACAGACATAGGCTTGGAAATACAAATAGTTAACTTGTAAAGGCAAATTCTTGAAGGTCCCATAACAAAGCAAGTCCAAAAATGGAGAAAACAGCTGACTGACTCACAGATAGACAGGACGACAGAGTGAAAGAAAAACAAACAAAGATAGAGAAAGAAGATAGAGGCAGCAAGAGACACGCGACCCAGATGTTAGTCAGACTCGTCATGAACTTGACTACAGTCCGGCTGAAACTGGCAGAAAAACATGCCGTGCACAGTGTACTCACTCATGGTGCCTGAAGCCCGACAACCACCAACTCTCCTGCCCTCTAATCACATTTTCCACCGGAGCAGGAGAGGGCAAGGTCGCAAGAAATCACACAGGGAGGAGAGAGAGAGAGAGAGAAAGAGCGTTGGGAGGGGAAGAGACAGGAAGAACAAGAGAGAGGGTGCTAAAAGTTTTAGAGGACGGCACTGGGTGTAAGAGACAGACAGAAAGGAGACGAGGGAGGAGTGAAGAGGAGAAGAGACCCGAGCCAAAAGGGTTCGTCATGCCTGACATGCCAATGACGATATCCACATGGACCGCCCCTAGCTCCCCCTCAACACTCTCTCTCTCTTCCTCACGCTGACAGCAGACAAACCCAGCTGTCTTCCTACGAGCTGTACTAACTAAACACACTCTTCCTATCCTGCTTCACTATACACACACACTGGTTAACAGCAGGCCTGAAGCTGTTCCTAGAGCAGACACTTCCATTAGATTACTGTAAACTCTCACATAGAGTGACACAGACCTGATGAAGACTACTAGAAAAATAAAGAGAGTATAACGGTATATAAATGTTAAACATTCATAACTGCCAGAGCAACAGGTCATGAGGCAGATTTAGCCCAGTTACAGCAGTAATCATGGCTACACGAGTAAAGCTGCAGCAGAAGAACTGCCAAAAACCCACTCAGTATGTTTCATGTAATCCTACAGATCCCAGCATCTTTGGCACCTGATATGAGTAAATCTATTCCTAAACTTGTGTAAAGCGACCCTACACTAATCAGTTTATAATTACTAGTTGCTAAATGTACTGTTAATTTGAGTGGATAAGGTGTTTCACAAGTAGTTTAAACATAAAATGTAGTACAGGTTATGGGATTAGTGGTCAAAGGTCTTACATTAGAAACGTTCAGTCAGTTTTTAGTAACAACTCTGAATGGAATTAGTGCTTGGATTTATGCAACACCACCGGGGACTGGTAAAACCGATCCAGAGAAATTATCTGAGATAACTAAGAATTTTACATCATTAATAAGGAACGTGGTGGATTCCCTGGTGAGAGGATCATCTAGAAACACTTTAGATTTCAATTAATTAAATAATTTATGAAATAAATTATATTAAAAAAAATCACATTTTGAACACAACTGTGTCTATTTTAGGGAAATAATAGCTGCATGCTGCTTTCTAGACACTCAATGTAACTTTCCTGACAAAAGTCAATAAAAATAATGACCTGCATACTAACACTTAGAACCAATTTTCCCCTTTTGAGCACTTTAACCAATGCTGTTCTCATGGAGCTGCTGCAAAACCCTGTCCAGAATTAGACTGGGCAACAGTTGAAAGCTGCTGCTGGTCACAGAGGGTACGTACATGAAATACAGGAGAGTACGTCAACATGGTCAAATATCACTGGCAGCCTACAAGAGCTGCTGCACCATGGTGTTCAAATGTCACTAACCACGTAAACCTGGGAGTCTAGTATGTGTGTATGTTGTTCTTCACTCATATGTTACATAAAAATAATTACCACTAATC